TCTGACCGCTACATGGTGTAAAGGTATGCTGCAATTCGAAGTCCACAAACTGTCTGAGCTGCCAGAAATAAAATTTTGACGTGGCCTTACCAAATAATTCGAGGCCCATCGAGACCACTTTTCCCCGCCGGCAGACTGTGATTCTCTGGTACCCTCTCTTCGTCCATTCCTCCAGCAACCAGTTGAGCGCTTCTCTGATAGCTGCATGTGGGAGAGCTGTGAACATCTCTTTGATGTCAAATCCGCCCCACTACAACCATTGAGTTACCTCCTCCAAACATCTGCAGCTTCTTCTCTGCTGTCTGGAGGTTGTTCTTCAGATACGATGTGGCCGTCAAATTGATGCAAGTGCCTTTAGGGAGCCCTGCAAGGGGGTAATTGACCCCCCTCGCTACCCATCTGCTCCCTGCCTTGTTGAGTCACTGCATGATGGTGCGATTGGTCTCCATTTGGTAAAGTCCTTGTGCTTGGGCATGATGTATGCCTTGCCTATCCTCCCCTTGCAGTCCCACTTAGCGACTTTGTCAAGACCACACTGATGATAGTCGGCCTTCATTTTGATAGTATGAGGCCCTCATCTTCGCCAGCCACATCATAGCCGACATTGTAGGTGGACATCTTACCGAGGTCTGGCTGGTATGACGCTGGCCATATAAGCACCATGTCTCCAGGGTTCCTGTCTACTCGGGTGAACAGCAGGTCACTGTAGCTCTTCTTCACAGCATACACCACCTTCTCCTCAAGCGCACTGCATTCTGTAATGCAACAGTTGAGCTGCAGATTCTGCAAGTGCTCTTCCACTCTATTTCTGTAGCATATCAGAAAGTGAAATGCACTGAAAGCCTAGGATCTAGCAATGACGAAAGTGGCAACAACCAGCAGCATAGGTGCAACATTCACAAGGTGTCAATGTGCGCGACACAAAGAGTGAAACAATGGGAAATCAATAACAACACATTCGTATCATCATCATCATAGGCTGGGAAGCAGCGCAGCGGAAGATCTAGTATCAAAGGACACGTGGACAACAACATGAAAGGG